GGCTGGGGATTCGAACCCGCCACCTTAGGTATACGTGGCTGGCGCCTTAGCCAGTTGAGCTATAGGCGCCAAGCCTATAAATCAAATCTTAACGGATTTTCTCTGGCTGGGAAAAAAAAATTCATGGATGATTTTAATTGTTTCCTCTTTATAACTCTTCCAAGAAAATATATAACTACCATAATGAAAAATCACTTACAAGGCTGGGCGCTGTGGCTCATACCTGTAATCCTAACCCTCCAGGAGGCCGAGGCAGGTAGATTGTCTTAGCTTGTGAGTTCAAGACCAGTCTAAGCCAAAGTGAGACCCTGTCTAAAAAATAGGCATTGTGGCAGGCACCTGTAGTCCCAGCTACTTGGGAGGCTGAGGCAGGAGAATTGCTTGAGCCAAGAGTTCGAGGTTTCGGTGAGCTATGATGCCATGGCACTCTACCAGAGGCAACAAAGTGAGACTCTGCCTCAAAAAAAAAAAAAAAAAAAAAAAAGAAAGAAAAGAAAAGAAAGAAAAGAAAATCATTTATAAAATGAAAAAGTATTTAAAAAATTCCATACATTTAAAACATAAGGCTAAATCTGCTTTAACAACAAAAACAAAATCTTTAATGCTTTTGACTTGTATATTACCCTAATCTTTGTCTAATGGCAGATTTAATTAATTAATTATTTTATTTTTTGAGACAGAGACTCAAGCTGTCGCCCTGGGTCCGGTGCCATGGCATCACAGCTCACAGCAACCTCCAACTCCTGGGCTTAAAGCAATTCTCTTGCCTCAGCCTCCCAAGTATTCGGGACTATAGGAGCCCGCCACAACACCCGGCCGTTTTTTGGCTGTAGCTGTCATTGTTGTTTGGCAGGCCTGGGCTGGATTCGAATCCGCCAGCTTTGGTGTATGTGGCTGGCACCCTAGCTGCTGAGCTATAGGCGCTGAGCCAACCTGCAGATTTTATACAGTGGAAATCCTAGTGTACATGTTAGTTTATGTTTCACCTTCCTCACAGCGTATTTCCCATGTGAATAAAGTTTACTGTAACCACCATGTTTAATCATACCATTATTTCTACCTGTTTTCATAAGATTTATTCAATTATTCTCCTTCCACTGTTTTTCTTTTTGATAGGGTAGATAATGCTGAAAACTACTTTGTGTCGTTTTTATTTTTGCTGAATTCTTTCTTTAGTAAATGTTACTAAAAGTTAGATTATTGGATAAAGCATATGAAAATCAGTTTTGTGAAATGAATTTTACTGAGTTGCAAAACAACTGTTACCAATTCCCTGTGCTACCAATATTTTCTGGTTCCTTATAAACTTTTAGCATTAAATGTTTTGTTGTTCATTTTCTCAGATAGGGTCTTGCTCTATCACCCAAGCAGGAGTGCAATGGCATCAGCATAGCTCACTGCTATAATGGCCTCGAATGATCTTTTTGCCTCAGCCTCCTGAGTAGCTGCGATTATAGTGGATACCACCATGTCTGCCTGACTTTTTGTTTTGTTTTGTTTTGTAGAGATGGGGTCTCAAAAAAAACAAAAAAAACAAAAAAAAACAAAAACCCCAAAAGACAGTCTTAACTGTATTGCCCCCACTAGAATGCCATGGTGTCAGCTCAGCTTATAGCAACTTCAAACTCCTGGGATCAAGCAATCCTCCTGCCTTAGTTACCTGCCTCAACACTCAGCTGATCTTTTTCTATTTTGTAGAGATGGGGGTCTCACTCTTGCTCAGGCTGGTCTTGGACTCCTACACTCAAGAGGTCTTTCCACCTCAGCCTCCCAGAGTGATAGGATTTCAGGCATAAGCCAACATACCAGGCACAGGCTTACCATTTCTATCACATCATAGGAACAAAACTATGTTTGTGATAAACAAAAGCAACCAGAGAAAAAAGGCATTTGACATTTCTCACAAAGATAACTATTATTCTGTGGCCATTTCCAAGAAGATAAAATACTACTAATCTATGGCTATTATCAAAAAGATAAAAATTTTAACAAATGCTGGTGAAGATGTGGAGAATAGGGAACTCTCATACGCTGTTAGTAGAAAGGTAAATGAGTACAGCCACTATGGAAACAGTATGGAGGTTTCTCAGAAAACTAAAAACATAATTACCACATGACCCAGCAATCTCACTACTAGAAATCCGAAGGAAAGGAAATCGGGGTATCAAAGAGATACCTACACCCCGACATTTACTGCAGCACTGTTCACAACATGGAATCACCTACATGTCTTTCAACAGATGAGGAGATAAAGAAAATGTGGTATGCGCATACAATGGAATAGTATTCAGCCACACAAAGAATGAAATTCTGTCATTCATGGCAACATGGAGGTAACTTGCCTCAGCCTCCCGAGTACCTGGGACTACAGGCACCCTCCATAATGTCTAGCTATTTTAAGAGAAGGGGGTCTTCCTCTTATTCAGGTTAGTCTCAAACTCGTGACCTCAGGCAATCCGCCCACCACAACACCTGTCTATTTTAAGAGACGAGGTCTCTCTCTGGCTCAGGCTGGTCTGGAACCTATGAGCTCAGACAATCCACCCACCTCAGCCTCCCAAGTGCTGGGATTACACATGCGACCCACCCACCACCTGGCCCTATTTTTTATTTTTTAATTATTTATTTTCTTAAGACAGAGTCTACTTTGTTGCCCTCAGAAGAGTGTCGTGGAGTAACAGCTTACAGCAAACTCAAACTCTTGGACTCAAGTTAATCTCTTGCCTCAGCCTCCCAAGTACCTGGGACTACAGGCACCCTCCATAATGTCTAGCTATTTTTAGAGAAGGGGTCTTCCTCTTATTCAGGTTAGTCCCAAACTCGTGAACTCAGGCAATCCACCCGCCTCCATCTCCCAGAGTGCCAGGATTACAGGCCAGCCAGTAACTGTCATTTAATTGACATCCCCTTTTAGCCTGGGGATACTTACAATATCACAGTCCTTTTTGCCATCTCGTTTAACTGGCTCATTCAAATCTTCTTGACTCCGAAAACTAAACTTTTCAATGGCTTCTGTAACTCCACGCAGAGAACTATAGATTTCTTCAGAGTTCAGGTTCTCTGTATCATAGTCCAGCATGCTAAAGATCAGAAATATTTCTTTAATTGAGGTATATGCACAAATTACTTCCAGTAGTTGACAGAGTAAGATATAAAAATAGTTGGGTTTTTTTTTAAAGTTATTTGGAGTGAAAAGGGGACACATCTTTTGTTAAAGTACCACCATGGGACAATTATACATTTTCCTTGTCACATCTAGTCCCAAACACATTACATCAGCACTCAATAAGAACCCGGGAAACAACAATCACCACAAGAATGCAAGAACTCAAAGAGTGACAATTGGTGACTGGATGCACGAGGTAATGGAAGTGGAAAAATAACTTTCTTATCTTGAAGATGGAAAAAAGTAGTTTGGTTGTTACTGGTCTCAAATGTACAAACTTAAGACACAGGTATGGGCATTTGGAAATAAAGCTAGTATACCGTAAACAATTTCACAGTAGCACAGCAAATGACCTTACAAGACTGGCTTATGCTTTGCAGTATCCAATCCAGAAAACTAATAAAAGTCCACTAAAAAAAAAACAAAAACTAAACAACCCTGCAACTCAAAGTCAGATACACCCCACCTGAAGGTTAACTCTCCTGCCGTCTAACCCAGGAGTTTGCTGTGAATACCAGCCTCTTCTAGATATTTCCATCGGAGTTTTATAATAAAAGTAGATTTTATAAAAGGTCACATTTCTGGATGGACATCTAAAAAATTCTTCTAAAAACAAGAAACACATGTCCTTCATGGAAAAGTGAGGTAAACTGCTATCTCTAATTTATTTTATTTTATTTTTTTGAGACAGAGTCTCACTATGTTACCCTTGCTAGAGTGCTGTTGCCTCACAGCTCACAGCAACCTCACTCTTGGGCGTAAGCAAGTCTCTTTCTCAGCCTCCCAAGGAGCTGGGACTACAGGCGCCTGCCACAACGCCTGGCTATTTTTTTGGTTGCAGCTATCATTGTTATTTAGCTGGCCCAAGCTGGATTTGAACCCGCCAGCCTTGGTGTATGTGGCTGGCGCCCTACCCACTGAGCTACAAGCACCACCTGCTATCTCTTTAGACACTGAGCATAGCAAAACATGAAATGAAGTAAAAAATCTAAAAAGTCTTTTGGTATAATATAGTCTGTCAACAGGTGTCTTGTAGATGCCTGAAAAGTGTACAGAAACAGGGAAGATCCTGAAAACAAAAACTGTCAGTGTGCCCTAACTATGACTATCAAAGAAAGCACAGGATGAATATACCAGCATCAAGAAAGCAAAATATGAAGCAACAGTCAACCAGGGGCACGTAAATTTTTTTAGTTTAAATGTCACCTGTTTTCAAGAACATATTCAAGAAAGGATGAGATGAGTTAGTCTAATGTAACTTGAAGAAATCCTGAGCTCTACTGAGGATTGTTAAGGACACTCAAAGACTCCGTGGCTGTGTGTAAGCAAGCATGCAACTTCACAAAGGACTACAGAAGAGTACTCTTTCTGTTCTTCAAAGACTAGTAAGGAGAAACTGGGCATCCAGTGGCTGGAACCCTTCCTTCCCAAGGCCAGAACAACCAACTCTGTTATACTTCCACAAAAATCAAGTTTCCTGGGACATAAAAACAACTGACATTTACTAAGCACCTCCCCCATCGTGAGAAAAGTTTGGGCAAATGAACAAGACAAGATTTGGGGGTTCACACTTGGAGTAGCCAGATCTGTGCTGGCTTAAGGTTGCAAGGATCCAAGTGTTTTCTACGGCTGGTACATTCTGCCAGAGCGTGAGATCTAAACTCACTCCCAGAGACGGAAGCTATTTGCCTAAAACTGCAAAACTGGCCTAGATACTGACCCATCTTTCCTGATGAACGGAGGAAAACACACACCCCAACTGCATTTGGAGAGTTCACAAAAATACATGCCAACTCAAAGACTGGCTCTGGCATCAAGGGAAAGGAAATGTGAACCTGGAGCACATTTGTAGCTGAAATTCCATGTGTATACTTGATAGGGGGTAAAAAAGAACGTGAACAGAATTCAAAATCTCAACCCCTTTAAGTCCACAACAAGGCTGTCTATGAGGCAATACCCTTTGCATGAGAAGAAGGCAGACTGAGGCACTGAGGCTCTCCATTCCCTTTTCTCAGAATACCAAATATTAGCTTACATATGAAGAAAGGTATTTATACATCTGGCCAGTACACTTTTTTTTTTTAATATATAAAGACTGAATATTACGACTCAAACAAAAAATATATATACAAGATGTAAAAAAAAATGCTTTAAAATACTTTTAATCACAACAATCAAAAATAACATAGCATAGCCCATGCAAAAGGAAAAAACAATTAAAAACTGAAAGAATGATGGGATGAACCAGAGGAAATCTGGAGGAATGTTCAAGTTGTTTAAGGGATGTCACAATATTATTCTCCACATGTCGCTTCAGATAATGTTAGCTTTCAGATAATTCATCTCATTATGCTTAAACCGAACTTTCTCAAAATATTACAGTTCATACAACTTTACCATTTTAATAGCCTCTTTTTAAAATAAGAAAATAAAGGATTCTGCCAGGTTAACAGTCCTCTTTCTCACTTTCAGTGAATAAACCAACCCAAAGTTCCAATTCAGGAGCACCACGTGCATGTTAAGTGCCTGCTGAGGCGACTCCGGGTAGATGCGCTAGCTTGAGGACTCAAGTATCTCCTTGGTATGAAGCTAGAACTGTGAGCTCCAGGTGAGACATACTGTCTCCTCTAACAGGAAACAGACATTGCTTCTTTCTTTGCTATTTTTATGCTTTGGCTTGATGTGTCTTTTTAAAAAAATATCAATATTCCCTTTGCAGGAAGAAAGGAACATCCCATGAATGCCACCATCAGGGAGTAGATACCGTGTCCTCACAAGCAATAACACACAAGGAGCAGCGGCACAGCCTTGAAGCTGACTCAGAGTCGGGTAAACCTCCATCTGCCACCTGCCCCACTGTCTGTCTTATTTTAGCCTCGAGATAACCCCAGGACATAATCTTCTGGGCTAAAAGTCAGGACCTGGTCACTTGTAAACATGATTAGACCCCAGAAGGGTTTCCTTAGGGTTCTACAGATTAGGAAGTTAGTCAACAGGCACTGACCTACGGGCAGGCCATGTCACCCAAACTGAAGCTGAATACACCCCTAGGCTTGCCGTCTAAAAGATCCTATGATGGGTGGGGAGAAACATGGGTCTCCAAGAAAAGAAAACCTGGAGTGATGAAGTTTGCCTTCTAAGGTTTTCTTTAGTATCATTTTGTAGGGCAAGGATGCTATGTATGGAGTAAAGATAATCGTTCCTTGCTATGAAACCAAAAGGATTCTGGCTTAGAGCAAAGAGACACAAATCCCCTCATGTAACTGACAGATGCACAGCTGACCTGCTTTGTTAACATTAAAGACAGCAGTCATCTCTGTCTGCCTGCCCGAACCTGTGTATCTAGAAACACTTGTCATTGGGTTCTCTGCACACTTTAGAAGTTACTTTTAGAACTGTAAGAGCTTCAAAAGAAAGATGTTAAAATATTTAGCAGTGTTTGCCTGTGCTATATTGCAGATACATCAGTAGGAATGCAAATCTTCTGTGCAAAAGCTAGATAAAACATTTCCAAGCAACAGATTGTCTCTTTTTTAGTTCTTGTTGGATCAAAGAAGGTACAAATTCATCTTACGGAGCATAATGACAGTTGGACTGCTCCATGTTCTAACATGTTTCTAGGGAAAGGACGCTCTAGTATTTGGACCTTTATAAAAATCACCCCCAAGAGACCCTCAAATAAACATCTGTAATACTATGCGGCCTCTTCTTCACACCACAGATTTAGTATCTGTCTTAATATCTCAGGGAAGCCCAGCTCTACTTCTCAATTTGCATGATCATCAGATTCAACCAGTGTCCATACGCTTCACTCAGCACTAACTATAGGGACTTACGAGGTGACCACAGCTCCCTTTCCTAGAGGAAGGCATCTGCAGTGACATGCAACAACGATCCCACTTCTTGGGGCTTCCTTTCTGGACCTGTGTGCTTGGACTACTACCACACATTAGGAAAGAAATCAGCCACAGAGTCAACCACAGTGCCCACCGTGAGCGTGTCTCTTTTGCTTCTTACTAGAATGCCTCGTGCACTCGACAAGCATGCTAGGGAAACTGTCCCCACTATTGCTTGCCTTGACTTCACAGCATTTCCTGAGCTCCTTTTGGGGGCTGAGTACTTCAATAGGCCGGGAAGCCTACAACAGTAGACAGCAAGTACCCTACTCAGGTGACAAAAGGGTCATCTGTTCCGTGTGTGACACAGCAGGAGTCATACTTGTGAGAGTCAGCAAAGATTATGCACCTGCTCACGCTTCTCACCAAGGCTCTCCTCCTGCTAGGCTAAACCAAGGCAGGGACCACAATGGAGGCAGCTGAGAGGCTTTCCAAAAGACCTGAGACGACCTTGGCAATGCAATAATATTGTGACACCTCAGACAGGTTTAACAGGTAGCGTGTTACCTGGGAGAGTAAGAGCGCCTGAGAGTCTTGTGGGAGGGAGCGGTGGGAATGGAGTTAGGCTGAAAAAAGGGAGGTGGGTGCTTCGATAGCCCATCGGCACTCCAACCCCATAACCGACTGCAGTGATCAGAAGAGGAGAGTCAGAGAGAGAAACACAAAAGACAAAGGGGAGGGGAGGAAGAAGATACTCTGTTTTAAGTCTTAGAGTCTACTCTTTCTTTGACAAAGTTCTATGAAAATTAATCAGAGTAAAATTAACACTTCATCACACAAAGAAAAAAGCAAGTATCATTTTATAATTTGGTTTCCAATAAGACTGCTTTATTCTTTTCCCTCCTAACCGTGGGGTACTATTTACATTTACTATTTAAAATCTTGTAAGATTCTAAGTGTGTCTGACATGTGAGATTGTGCACATGTGTAAGTATGTCTGCATTCACACAAGGATGTGTATCAAGCACTTACAAGAAAAGGTGGATGTTCAGTCTCAGATCACTCATCAGTTATTTTA